CAACTAGTTGCGGCTTATAAAATTTTGGAGTTGCAACGTGTTGCAACAGGTGACAAATAAGCGTCACATACTTGCTGTGCCATCTCTAATCGTTAGTGTCATTAATGGTGTACATGGTGTTAATTTCATAGATCTGTGTGACATTATCTGATTAATCTAATTTTGATCTACTATTTTGATTGGTCAGGTAGATATTATTTTTCTTTTTCTTCATTTTATTAATAATAATATTATTATTATTATTGTGTTCTGGCTGTAAGGGCTGACTGTTTTTCCAGTGAAAATTATTTTCATTATTTTTTGGGGATGTGCTGCTCTCATGTCCACTATTTTCCAGTTTTTTATAGAGAAATTGCGCTTTGTCGTTGTACATTTCGTTCGGCGAAGTGTCGCAGTTTCACCATGAATTTAGAAATTTTTGTGAGCCTTCTGGTGACGATTTCAGTTTTTTTGTTATTTTTCTTTATTCTGGTAAGTGTTGTTGTGGGTTTGGTTGGCATTTTTCCAAATTTCGCGTTTTCTTAAGGGAAACGCTACTTCATTGCGTTTTCCCTTCACATGACGATTTCCATTGTCCCAATGATAATGGTGTCGTTCGTGATTGTCATTCTGTGAGTTTGTGATGTGTGATAGTTGTCATGGAGTTTCTTTTCTCTCTTTTTTTATCTCTTTTTCTTTATTTTCGGTCCACCTTTTTTTTGTTTTGGCGATTTTGGCATCAGTTTCGTTGTTTTCGTGGTCACCTTCAGTTCATGGGATACTGGCTGTATCCCAGCTGTTGTTAGCGACATCGTTGGTGGTTTGGTTGTCACTTTCAGATGGGGGAAGGTGAACATTTATTCTCTTCCACCCGTATTTTTTTTCTTGGCTCTCTGGCTGAGATCTGGCAGCTCGGATAGCTTCGTATCTGTAATCCTGGTCATTTTCAGACTGATTTCCAGCCTGTTTTCTGACTTGTCCGTTAATTTCTATGTTCACGTTGATAATTTTGGATCGTGATGCTGGGAATTCGTTTTCTTGATAATGAAAGTGAGGAGGATGATGGTGATGATAAAAAAGTACTTCACTATTATCTTTGAGAGGAACATCTTCTCAGCTGTAAAGAGGATGATGTTGTTTTGCTTCTTCATTATAGTAATAACCAGGATAATAGCGAGGATAATCTTCTTCTACTTGAGGTAGATTTATTTTCTCTTTATCATTATCTTCTTCAACAAGTTCTTCTTCTATTTGTTGATAAGGTATTTCCCAACCTTTTCTTCCATCTAGAGGCAAATCTTCTTCATTATGACAAAAAATTTTCTTTTCATCAAGTTGACGTAAATCTTCAATTTTATCTTCATTTTCATCTAATAATATAGCAACAATTTCTACAGAATTTTCATCACAATTTCTACATCCAATATGTGTCATTCGTCAGTGATTTCTACACCAGTGACAAGTGACAGCATCAGGATGTAGGGGGAATTGTCCGAACACGTGTTCTTTTAATCACATGTTCTAATGATCTCTGGTCCAGCCATCCATCGGAACTACAATCTGGTAATATGATACACAACGATATTGATGATCTAATTATAACTTAAAATAATCAATCACTTTGCATTACGTACTTATTCTGCGATTTCTGTGATTTATTATCATTATGCGAAAATGCGAAGTGATTATTTTAAGTATTTTTTATTTTATTTATTGACTTCTTCACTTTTTTTTTTAAAAAAATAAATGACAAAATTCATTATACAAATCATCCTAAATAACATTTTTTTTTAAAAAATAATATTATGGCAAAAATAATGTCCAAGGAGTTGATCCACGCCATGTTGGATCACGTAACCACCTGCGTTGTGCTATATCAATGTCATCCAGCATGGTGAATAGATGGTTAGTGTTATTAACAACTCGCATAACATGATGCTGGTTATTGGCCGCAAGTTCTTGCTCAAGATGTTCTGCCATACGTCTTATAGCCGCTACTTTTAGCTCACAAACACAGCGTATTTTCAAATCAAGAGCGTCATCATCTTCATCCATCTCAACATACCCACTATCCAACATGCTAGACTGTGAAATTGAAGGTTGGAGCATACTTATCTCTTCGGATGTGTTTTGCAGTTTTCCGGCATTCCAGACAAGAAAAGGGTAATCTTCTCGCCGCTGAAAATCGCTGTATAATAGACAAATGCCTTGTGGATCAACCAATTTCACCTCTTCAACTGCACAATGGACCAAGTGCTTGCAAATGAGGAAATGACTACAAAGAAATGACAGGCAGCTACATATCCAATGATCCAAGTCAATAAAGTAACGTTTCTCGTATCCATCAGTGATCAGTTTTGCGATGAGCTGCTTCCAATCACTCTTAAACTCATCGAACCAAGAAGGTGCCGTTCATCTTAAGCGCATTTGATTGAGACGAGTGATCTGGTCAGGAAGAATACACGTCCAAATGATTCATACGAGATAATCCAATCGTGGCCGGTTGAATCTGGAAAGATAACAATGTTTAACGACTCTCCAATGTGCTTCAATAGGCATGTTCGTTTTGCCAAGCGGAATCATCATTCGTGTTGATCAAGCCCAGAGTATCCACTTTGACATCTTGTACCAAGCAGATCACAAGTATGCCCAGAGCAAAACAAGGTCATTTTCAGCACAAAAATCATACATTTCGTGAACTGCACTCTTTCAGATTTCGTCAGCTATTAGGAACCATCCAGCAGCATTGATAGGGATTTTTGAGTGCATATTAAAATGCTTTCTGATGAGATTGATAATTTTATCTCGCAAATTCGGTGAGCATATTATGTAGTACTCGGGCTCAATACGTTCCAGATCAGGCTTGAAAGTGGGATCAATAAAATCAAACTCTGTTACAGCTTCATCTGGTTGATATTGATTGCGATGAATTCGCTTGCGACTCTTAAGCTTTTCCTTGATAGTCTTTTCAATATGTCACAGACAAAGCTGTATATTAGCATTGGGCCACACTTCTTTCGCAGCATTAATTTCTGCGAAGTCTTTATCGGTGTAAAAGTATTGTGGTTGCAATCCCTTATCGCAGAGAGAATGAAGGAAGCCAGCAAGTGCCATTGTTCGTAACCCCATTTGTTCTTCATTGTTTGGCACCTTCGTAGTGTTCAAAATGAGATATGCTACTGGAAATTCTGCACCCTCAATGTTACCGATAATCCCGTAGAGTTCGAAGCATCCTTTGGTCATTTTGTAAGTTGCGTCACAATGTACACTCGACAATGGTAATAACCCAGCTAATAAAGGAGTTGTGAATCCAATCACTGTAAAGTGACACACAGAAACTACATGATCTTCATCTGATTTATAAAAGCGCTGGCAAGATGTTGACCACCAATAGTAAATTTGTTTCGCAGTGACAAGCGAAACATCAAACATTTGACGGAGATGTGCTCGTAACTGCACGGGATTCATATGAAGATTTTGCATAATTTCGTGCTTTACTTCCGGTGGGATAGTAATATCAACAGGTTTCTCATGCTGAATATTATGATGAAATCTAATCATTGCTTCTCTTGCTGGCATGTCGATGTGGATAGTCAACTTGCCATGACAATCAAAACGGATCATTCTCTTTCAGTTTGATTTCTTATATTCACGCTCAAGTTCACAGCACTGTGAACATGCAAGATAAAATATACTGACTCCATAATGGCGTAATGACATTTCAGGTCCAGTTGTGAATATCCAATCATATCCATCAAATCCCTCGATCTCATCCACTATTAACTTTACCGTATTTTTTGCATTATGTGCAGCAACCAATACATCATCAAGCTCAACGCAAAGATCGAAGGATAGCATATCATCATGCTCAAGATTAGCAGCTTTGCTGGTGACATAATCGACAACTTCAGATAAAGAAATTTTCTCAAACACTTCTATCTCTCTTTCTAATTGTTGATCATTTATGGAAGAAGATCGTTTTGCAGCTCTCTTCCTAGACCTCGTAA